GACAGAAACTATTATGAGCCACAGGGGAGAAAAGGGAAGACCTTTTATAAATAAGCATGCCTTTTCATTTAATTTTCTTTGAAGATTCAAAGGAATATGGGGTTCAAGATTATTTAAAATATAACTCTCCTAGGTTTCACAATCCTACTGCTTTCCTTTTAGTATTGTGACATTACTAACATTTTTATGATTATGTTCTGAGGCTAACAGGCAGCATAGTCCGCCCTCCTACAGCAAGAAATGAGGGGCTAATTAAAATTGGCCGTGAAACCTTCTTAGCATTCAAAGCATACCCTGAGTTGGTAATTGCCTGGTGTGCCCTCTAGGAAAGTTCACAAATGTCAGCAACCTCCACAATCCTTCCCGAGGCCAGTGCTTTCCCCTTCTACTTGTACTTCCTCCTAGATCCTCAGGTGAAAGTTTTGTGGTTTAGATGTGAGGTGTCCCCTAAAGGTCATGTATGAGACAACGTAAGAAAGTTTAGAGGTGAAACAATTGGGTTATGAGAGCTTGCTAAGCCTAATCAGTGCATTTATCTACTGAATGGATTAACCGGTTGGTAACTATAGGCTGGTAGAGTTTGGCTTAGAGGAGGTGGGTCACTGGAAGCGTACCTTTGGGGTTTATATTTTGTCCCTGTGTGGGAGCACTCTCCCTGCTTCCTGATTGTCACATCTTGAGCTGCTTTCCTCCACCACACCCTTCCACCATGATGTTCTGCCTCACCTCAGACCCAAAGCAATGGACTGAGACCTCTGGAACTGTGAGCACCAAATGAACTTTTCCTGAAATTGTTCTTGTCAGGTCTTTTGTTCACAGTGGAGAAAAACTGACTAAATCATCTTAGTCAATGAGCTGCCACAGCAAGCCATAGATTATTAGCATTCCTCTTAGACCAGCATGAAGTTACTGTTGCCCCCTGACCAGGTCATGAGCAAATTTTAAAATCCCATCCTGAGAATCTACTTTCTAGGACCATCTCTGGTGCCATCTAAAAACAGACACTGAGGCAAGGAAGGATCTGAGTGCATGTAGTGTACTTGGGAGATGATATCAGGAAGTTAGAGAATGACATTGAGATATGAAGGTAGCAAAGGGGTAGGTCGATGGTAGAGCACTTTCCTAGCATTAGTGAAGCCCAAAGTTTACTCCCAGCACCACAATAAATAAATCAAAGGTAAATTTAAAAAGGTTTATTAATAAGATTAACTGAGCTCTAGTCAGCAGAAGCTCGGTTCTATTAAGGACTCTTGAAGAATTGGCAAGGACATGCCATGTGTTCAGTCAGCTTCAGGTTGAAGTCTATCAGTGGTAAAAGCTAGACTATTCAAGAAATAGTATTAAGATAATTAGCCATGCATTTTGGAGAAAAGTTGATCTTTTCCTCACACTATGAATAAAAATTACATATGTATTAAATATCAAAAATAAAAGTATTTTAAGACTGTATTTATGATTCTGGGAGTAGGAAAACCTTAAGAAAAGTTACACGGAGAGAGATTAAATTTTAAATACATTTAAATTTAAAACTTCTGTAAAAACTCCCAAACATGAAAAGTTAAAATATAAGTATAGAAAAGAACACAACTGAAAAAAAATATGTGGTAAAGCACTTGCCTAGCATGTACAAGGCCCTGGTTCCATCCTCAGCACTGCAAAAAATAAGAAAAAGCATCTTCTAGATAGCTGAACATATGGAGGTTCCTGTAGAGTGTCAGCCTACAGAGGACATGGAAGTTCTTCATCCCTTCTCAATACCTAACCCTGGGCATCTCTTCATCTGTATCCTTTATTAAAAACCAGTAAATATGCCAAAGAATTTAGAGTGTCATTTTTCATGGAGTATGCAAGAGTTCAAATTCCATTTGTTGTCTCTTTTACCAAAGTAAAAAGGGAGCATCAACCATCAACTTTGTGATAGGTAAGGAAAATATTTTTGTCTCCCTTACAAAAGAAAAACTCAGTCATACTACTGACCAAGATGACAAAAACAGCAATGTTATATATAATGCTAATGCCACATTCAATGTCAAGTCAAAGAGAAAATCTAAGATTGGCAAGGAGTCAATTCACAATTTTTCTAAGCATGGAACCTGATGTGATTATGAACCTTACCGCCAATATTCACAATAGATGCCAAACAAAGACTACAGAATTCCTGATAACCTTAAAAAGAGATGACTCTAAGAAATGAATAAAATATGAACAATGAGACTATGGCAAATAACTTTTAAGTTGTTGAGGTTACCCTAATAAAACTGTAGATCACTACATGAGACAGAGACAACAGGTGGTCAATTTTATCATCAGATAAGGAAAATACTCCTCATTTAATAAATGGTACCATTTTTTAAAAGCTCTGCATATAAAATTAGGCAGCATCTGATGCATAGTAATTATTCAATAAGTGAAAGCTATTATTTAAAAAAGAAGAACAAAAACCTAAGATTAGGAGCTAAACCCATAAAATCTTTGAGGAAAACATAAGGAAAATTCTGACATTGTATTTAGTAATCATTTTGGGGAAATAACAAAAACTAGAGTAATAAAGTAAAAATAGAAAAGTTGGACTTCATCAAAATTAAAAACTTTTGTACCTCAAAGGACACCTGCAGTAAGGTTCTCCAGAGAAACAGAGCCAGTAAGAGATGGATATAGATACAGGCAGTAGTTATTAGAAATTATAAGAAATTGGCCCACATGATTATGGAGGCTGAGAAGCCTTCATCTGAGAGCTAAAGACCCATGAAAGCCAGTAGTGTAGTTTTCAGTTAAGTCAGAAACCCAGAGACCCAGAACTGATAGTGTAAATACCAGTCCGAGAGCAGAAAAAAACATATGCCAGCTCAAGGGCTCAGAGCATTCTCCTTCTGCCACCTTTTTGTTTTATATGGGGTCTCTGTATTAGATTATACCCACTCACAATGGGGAAAGCAATCTGCTTTACTCAGCCTAGCCATACAAACACTTGCAAAAATACTTCCTAGACACAACCTGAAATGATGTTTAATCAAATATCTAGGCATTCCAAGATCCCAATCAAGTTAACACATAAAACACTATTAAAAGAGTTAAAATACAATCCACAGAATGGGAGAAAATATTTGTAAATCTTATGTCTGATAAAGAAGTAATATCCAAATGATGTAGTCACTGTGTAGAACAATTTGGCAGTTCCTCAAAAAGTTAGAAATGGAATTGCCATATGATATAGCATTCTACTTCTCTGTATATACCCCAAAGAATTGAAAATAGCAACTGAAACAATACTTGAATTCTAACGTTCATAGTAGCATTATTCACTGTAGTCAAAAGGTGGAAACAAACCAAGATGTCCATTAACAGATGAATGGGTGAACAAAATGTGATGTACATATACATTGGGATATTATTCGTCCAAAATAAAAAGAATTGAAATTCTGATACATGCTACAACCTGAATGAACCTTAAAGACATTATGATAATGATAGGCAAGCATTCTACAACTCTGAACTATCTCCAGCCTTTTTTGTTTTATTTTGAAATAGAGTCTCACTAAGTTGCCAAGGCTGGCCTAGAACTTGCAATCCATCTGCCTCAGCCTTCTGAGTCATTGAAGTTACAAGTGTGCACTGCCATATCCAGTGTAGAATCTGTACTTCTGAAGAAGGTCAGAAGTTATTTGGTGATATCCTAAAATGGTGGGGGGAAAGGTTTTCTTCGATACTAAACTACTGTCAGTTCGGTAAAATTATGAAGGTTTGTGTGTGTGCATGTATGGTGATAGGGATTGAATTCAGGGCTTCAAGCATGGGAGGCTGGTCTTCTCATTCAAACATTTTAGTGTCTCTGCTTACCACATCTTCAGATGAGTTAACCAAGCCTTTCAGACAATAGAAAATATCTCATCTCCCCAAATCAGAGTCTCTGCCTTATGGTGCCCGATTTGCTCCCATTGTGATTCCTTGGTCTTGAGCATGGAATACTTCTACACTTGCCTCATAACAGTATACATAGAGTGCACTTTTTTTTTCTATGTAAAGTATGAATATTTATTTCAGGCTTTAGATTCCCAATCGATTTCAAAAAACAAAATCTGATTTCTCTCCTCAAGAATAGCTGAGGCCTCCGTGTTAGGATGATTTCATGAAGGCTTAAGGAGCACATTTCATCAGGCTTAGCATGAAGTAAGTCCCTGATG